TTCGTTTCTACTTAAATGTGAGGGGAGGATTTTGCCTGTTTGCCACCAGATTTCCAGGGATCAGGAAGCTGCCAGACATTTTATGTGTTTGGTAAGTATTTGTTGAATGAACCACAAAATGAATGAGGAGATAGGAACTTCCCAGGACCCTCTCCACGCTCAGGCAGATCTCATTAAAAAGAGATTATTTTTTCCTACAAAATGTGTTAATCTAAGTATTGCTGTGTAGCCAAAGTAGATGGTTATCTGCAAGTAATACAATTAGAAGTAATTAGGCTGATCCAGATTATGAATTGTCTTTTGAATTCACTTTCTGGATGATTAGATTACTCAAAATAGAACTAACCTGAAGTGAGTAAAATGGAAATAATGATGGTAACTGTTTGATAGGGTTGTGGTGGAGACTTAATGACTTCATATAAGTGAATTAATTACTGTGGTGGTTTTCAGTTGGGAGCAATATTGTCCCCCCAGGGACTTCTGGTAATGTCTGGAGATGCTTTTTTTGTTGTCAAAACTGGGATCAGGAGGACTACTACTGGCATCTACTGCTGAACGTCCTAGAGTGTACAGGACAGTTATCCATGACAGAGAAATATCTGGTCTAAAACGTCAATAGTGCACCATTGAGAACCCTTGGGTTAGTATGGAGTGGGCACATAGTAAGAGATACATTTGTGTTTTCTATTGTTATTTAGTAATGACCTTTCCTACAAAAATTCTCAAAAACCTCCAGAGGGAAGGATGACACAGAATGGAGTTGAGATCATTAAGTCTGGTCAGACCCTCGGGGTTTGAAATCTAGCTTTACTCTTCATTAACTGTGTGATTTGAGCATGTTATTTGACTTCTCTATACCTCCTGTTCTTTGTCTTTAAAATTGGTTTAGTGATAGTAAATCCCTTAGAGAGTTGCTAGGGGCTTGAATAAAAATAATCCATTCAAAACATTTGATTCTGTGCAGTAGCACACAGTAAATGTTCAATAAATGTCATGATTATTGCTGTTATTTTTGATCCCCCAAAAATCTTTCCCCAGAATATGATGAAGGAATTGAGGGTAGTTTCATCTAGGAAAAAGAAATAGAAAATTCCTCATATAAAATATATATGAGTGTATTTCTATAACAATAGGTAACTATATAAAAGTTACATTTAAACCAAATGTTTTAAGGCTGTTATTTTTTATCTTTTAAAAGTATTTTGTTATTACTTTCCCTGGTAGAATAACTCCCTGAAATAAAATTTCTTTCATTTTAAAAATTTGTATCTAGCACAAAAGGTAGAATTATTTAAGGCTTCTGGTACAGACGAATTAAAGGATTTTGAGAAACTAGGTCTCAGACATGAAATATAAGACAGGAAAGTTAAACACTTATGCAATAACAACCACCTCTTGTGTTTTAAGTTTATTAATCTCTTATTCCTTTATTGAAATAAGATGCAGAAGCCCACAGTGGATGAGTAATTGCAATTTGTGGCCACTGACTAATTCTAGAGTCTCATTTTATAATCTAATATTTGTGAAGGTTCTTTGGAAATTGTTAAGCATAGTTATGAAAATGTGGGTATTATTATCAACTCTAACAAGTTATTACAGGGTTAGATGTTTCCCTTGTTAGGGAGATGGTCATGCCCCAACAGTTCTTGTTGGTATGTAGTCAGGCAGCCAAAATTAGGCTACAGGTAAAGTTTGTTATTAAGAAGAAACAACTATCTGATAAACTATAAATTATTTTTCATATTATAAATACAATGAGGGAGAACTGTGTTTCTCAGAAAAAAACTTTTAAGTACAGAATGCAAGATATTTTACAATCTGTCACAGGGGATAAAAAGAATATCACATACAAAAAAAACGAAAAGGCAAATGACAACCTGTGAAAATGTTTGCAACGTATATGACAAAGGGCACATGTTCCAATAGAGAAATGGGCCTGTAAGTCAATAAGAAAGACACAAATGCTCCAATAAAAGACATGAATAGGCAATTAACAAAGAGAAGAAATTAAAATTGCTAGCCAATATGAGAAATCTTTAAAGAAAGGCAAATCAAAACAACACTTTAGTCTTTTCAAATTATCAAAGGCTCGAAGAATAAGATGGCTAATGAAGTTTGGTGACCCATGGGCACTCTCATGTGTGGTTGGTAGAGTGGATGTGGGCATAACTTTGCTTGAGACTATTGGTTCTATGAATTTAAAACTTCAGATATCTTCATACTCTTCATCTCAGTAATTCTACTCTATAATCAGACTCATAAAGTTTTATAGATATGAATCTTCCCACCATGGTGTTGCATATAAAATTTTTAAAATGACATAGAATATGGTTAAGTGAATTATGATCCATCCATGGGCCATTAAAAAATTGAAGGTAGGCCTTACTAATAACTACTGCAGCATTTTCAAGTTTGGGTGACCGAGAGGTGATGGCACAGGTAACAGAAGCTATAATAGTGTGGAGCACAGATGCAAGGGAGACATCACAAGAGAACGGCCAGGCAGCAAGGACACCCTTCCCTACTCTCACCTTGGCTTCCCACAGTTCCCAAGGTCAATATGCAGATTAAATTCTAATGATGACCCAGACTCATAAACTTAGAGGTTTAGCATTTGCTATAACTCTGACCTTCATAGTGTAGAAGTTAAAGCCACAAATAACATCGTTTTTTTTGTTTTGTTTTGTTTTTTTAAATTGTTTGCCAGGCATGGTGGCACAGTTTTGTAATCCAGTGCCTTGGGAGTCTGAGAGGATTGGATTGAAAGTTCAAAGCCAGCCTCAGAAACTTAGCTAGAGGCTGTAAACAACTTAGCAAGACCCTGCTTCAAAAATAAAAAAATTAAAAAAAAATTTTAAAAGGCCGAGGATGTGGCTTAGTGGTTAAGCACTCTTGGGTTCAATACCCAGTACCAAAAAAAAAAAAAAAAAAAAAGTTGCTTATGCATCACTCAGTGCTGTCTATTCTGGGTTTGTTGCCAACTTTTCTGTTACTTCTGTTCTCTTAAAAATAACTTTTTAAAAGTTAAATAGAATCAAAGGTCAGCACACCTATGTTTGTTTATTTCTGAGGCATTTTCATTTTAAGATGAATTGCCTACAAAAAAACCTTAGCTTGATTCTTTAGTTTTAGAGATTGCTGGTGTTTCAGAAGAAAATATTTAATTACCTATTTTGTGATCCAGTAATTTCAGTTATAAAACATTTCAGTGGATGAATTATCCACAGGAAAAAAAAAAACAATATGTTTTGATCCTTTGTTTTTTAAAAAATATTTTTTAGTTATAGATGGACCCAATACCTTTATTTTATTTATTTATTTATTTTTATGAGTTGATGAGGATTGAACCCAGTGCCTCACATGTGCAAGGCAAGCACTCTACCACTGAGCTACAATCCCAGCCCTGATCCTTTGTTTTTAACCCTTGCTGTTGGATCTTGAAAAACACAAACTGCATAGTGAATATTTGGAACTTGTAATTGACCATCATTCAGCTAATAATTTAATAACTATAGACAGAATGTTAAAGGTATTAATAAAATTGGATTAGCAATATAAGAAAATAATTAAAGATTCCTGAAATACCTGAGGGCATACTTAATTTTCTCAAGATTTGCTAAGTCAAAGATAAAACACCAAGGCCAGCAAGTGGATTATAGTGTGTCTGTGGGATCTGAATCCACCATATTCTCAGAGCAGTCAGGCTGTGGCCTGGGACATAGGGCCCCTAGACTACTCTCCTGTTATCCAAGCATCTAGACATCACCAGAGATACCAGGTATAGAACACATAAGCCCAGACAGGACAAAGGCCCCATGGAGATGCTAAGAGAAAAATATTTTTCAGGTGCCCAAGAATGACAACCAGCCTGAGGTCAGATTAGTAGGGAGCAGGGTCATGTATGCGAATGAGTGTGTGTGTGGGGGGGAGGGGGCGCACATGTGCAGATTTGGAAAAACTACTACCACAAAGAAAGCTCACCAACCAATAAAGTTTGATATGGACACAAGAATTAATAAATGAACCAAAGCACTGTTCTAAAATTAACACGGAAAAAGAATAGGCATTAACATAACACAATTATTGCAATCAAATCAAAGTGGAAAAAAATAGAAGTGGTTTAGTTGCTTTGAAAAGAAATTGTTCAAGAAATTACTTACTTAATGGTGTTATATCAAGTACTTGCTTGATACATTTCATAAATTCAGTAAAATTATGATTAGAATGTTTGTATTCATAAATAAGAGTCAGAATGTTTGGGGGAATCTAAACAGGATCCAAATGAGGAGTAGATTGTTCATGGATCACTTAGTGAAACCTGGGAGATGGGAACAATGAAGGATCCCTCTGAGGACTGTTGCCTGACCTGTATCTTTATGCTTCATTTCTATTCTAAGATGAAGGATTTTATTTCACTGGTATTACTATAATGAAAGTTCTTATTTTTTAAATGGGCAGAAAATATGGAATCTGAAACAATAATCATGGTGTTATAAGGTCTAATATTAATGAGTTCCATTCTACTGCACATATACAACGTAGTAAAGTAGAACCAAATATTTGCACGCATCTTTAGTTTATCACTACATTTTGCACTATCTACTGTGTTCCAGACTACTGTTTCCTGACCAACAGAATCCAGCACGACACCTGACACTTGGGAGGGATCAATATTATTTCATATGTAAGTGAATGGATGATGTCCATACAGTCTGGGCATGACTGAAATTCAGTTTTATTTTTGGAAACTATATTGTAGGTTTTGTATTTACTCTCACACATTGTTAAACGTGGGAAGACAGGATCCAATTTACATGAGGACAAGATTCCTTTGCTTCTTTAGGTCATTTATTTGTCTTTCCTGTTTAGAAGATTATTTAAAATTGCTTATTAGAGAACCATTGTCTAAATGGAAAGTGACTCTAAATGAAGAAGTCTCAGATCAAGGCCTCTTTTTTCTAAAGACTCACTCAGAAGGAAGTGAGTACGAGGTGAACTGTACTAACTCAAGGGACCACAGAGATGAAACTTGAAGGAGGAAGCAACACACCATCAATGTATCGCATGGAGCACGCTGGTGTCATGTGAATAGATATGACAAAAACAGCTCTCCTTAAATTGTTTGTGGCAATAGTGATCACGTTCATTTTAATTTTGCCAGAACACTTCAAGACACCAAAAGGTGAGTGTATAATTGTACTTTAGCTCTTCTTTCTTAATTTGAAAAATTGTCAGTTAATGGTCACAAAAAAAAAAGATCCTTTCTGACACATGCTTCATGGGCTGTGTCTGAAAAACTAGTAAAACAAAAGGAAATTGTAATTTTAGTTGACTGTTATATAACACAGTAAATTCTTAGTACTTAACTCTTGTAGCATATATACAAATAAAAGGAAACACTTCATAAAAATGAAATGTAACATTTAAAATCTGTAGTCTAGATTTCAAACTTTGAGTTTATAATAATTTTCTCACATGATTTCACTCTTTGAAAGTTTCCTTCAAAACAGTTTTAAGCATGCTTTTATATTCTGAACCTATTTAATAGAGAGAGCAACATTTATTATGCTAACATGCTTGAATTCCGTCCATTACAACAATTTTGTGCAAATAATTTACTGCTGCTTTTGGAAAAATAAGAGTATTTAGATATAATGAGATTGGTGCAAATTTAAATAGGAGTGTGTGTGTGTGTGTGTGTGTGTGTGTATTTGTGACTAGAGAAAAATGGAATAAATTAATTCTGTAAAAAACTTCAGAGAACTCTTCCATGATCACTGAAACTTTAGAAAAATAGATGTAAATGTGAACCATGTTAGTAAAAGATTTAAAGACACAGTAATGTAAATGTTTAGAAGTAATTGTGCTCTCTAGCACTTAGTAGGAAAAAAGTGAAAAAAATTTACTGTACTCTATCATTAAATAGAAATCATATGAATTTATTTAAATCAGTGAAAAACTTATATTTGATGATTTGCAGCAATGAATATTTATTGTTGCATATGTGTGATGCTAAGTCATCTGATAAAAATGTTTTTGCTAATTATATTTGATGCCATATTGCAATGATTATTTAATGTTGCATATTAAATGATGCTAAGTAGCCGAATAAAAATATTTTTGCTAAATAAACACTATGACTGCAATTTCGCAAGCGATTGAATTCTTAAAATTTCTTTTTGTTTGCCGCCATAATGTTGTTCAAATTAAGCAATCAGGGCATATATTTTTAATGCTTGATTTCCCTGGGTGAAAATGTGTTACACAGAGAATAGTTAGAGCAAAGAAAATCTATTTTTAAGCTATTGTAGGCTGAGAGTAAACTCATTCAATAGTTATATAAGGTAGATACATATCACCTCCTAGCAATCAGGTTGGATTTAATGAAAACCAGGAAATTAGCTCAAAAAAGATATAATGCCCTATTTGCTAACTATTGGTTAGTGTTTTATGAGAACTAGTGACTCCAAGAGCCTGCTAATACTCCTCTGTTTTTAGATAGATGCACAGTATTTTTAGTTCTTTCTGAGTGTGACACTTGGCCTTCTGGGACAGTGGCAACATAGAGACGTCAAGTGCAGCTCAGAAATTCACAGGGAGGAGCCCCTGAAGGCCTTAGTAGTCCCTTGTTTTGTGGGTAGAAGAAAAGAGCTTTTATAAAATTCACCTTAGCCAAACATCTCTGGCCTAACAGTAATGTGTCAGTAGTTCATCTTGACAATAATTAGCTATCTTTTATTGGGATGTTTCTCTTAATTTCCTCAGCTCCAATGCTGCTCTCCCAAACTGAAAATAATAGTTTCTTCAAATGCTTTGGGGTGATGGAATTATTTGAGAAATTTGTTTCAAAGGATCCCTATTTGGGACCAACAAACAAGAATGTTTGAACACCACTGTTTTTTTCTGATGCCCTTTGGTGGTAGAAGGAATTTTGCAGAGTCACTATAAAAAAAGAGTTGATTATTGGGTAATATGTTTTGCCCATGCAATAGTGTAATAATAATAATAATGCTTTATTTTTTTAAGGTCATGGATCATCAGGAGCATGTTCATGTAGCCTCATTTAATGTAGTCCTATGTTGATTAAAGAGATTTAAATATAATTGCTTGCATTTTTAAATTTTTTTTGTGTGTGTGGGGTGTACCAGGGATTGAACTCAGAGGCACTTGACCACTGAGACATATCCCCAGCCCTGTTTTGTATTTTATTTAGAGACAGGGTCTCACTGAGTTGCTTAGCACCTTGATTTTGCTGAGGCTGGCTTTGAACTTGTGATCCTCCTGTCTCAGTCTCCTGAGCCACTGGGATTACAGGCACATGCCACTGCCCAGCACTAAATTAATTTTAATCACAATATCAGTTGGCCTATAAAATGAATTGAATTGTCAACCAATGTCTTTCACAAATAAAGTATTTGGCAAAATTATTTCAATAATAAACTAAGAGTGTTCTAGAAGTAGGAAAATTAACCTTGACATTCTCCTGTCTAGTCCTACTTTGCCAGTTACTTGTTTCGCTTTCCCTCCTTCATGTAAAATGTTCTATTTGCTTTAATTTCTAAAATAAATAACATAAGATGATTTTTACTTATAAATTATTCACTGATCACCCTGTCTTTAATATGTCAAATGAATTCAAAAGGAATCTTAATGAGGAGTAATGTATTCATGAAGTTTAATAGATTTGATTTCAAAATAATAAATCCTCTGCAGTCCTAAGTTAAAAATAGAGCACCATGTTTGATCATTTTTCATCAAGAATGTATCTGAGTCTTCGAATCATTAGTAGGAATATTCAATTATCATAATTATGCAGTGTACGCTATTTAAGAAGGGGAATTTCTTAAACATTGAGTCTTTTAATAAGTTTGCATTGGGTATGCACTGGCAAGATAATCTCTTTTACAGCAGTATTTTTAACTTTTCCATTAATTTAAAAGGCAGCTAAGATACCACAGTTAATGTAATAGTTTAACACACTTAGATTTCATGGAGATAATGAAATACAGATGGGAATGGATATATTTTGCAATTATAGAAAACATGGAGCTCCCAAATAAAACTTCACCAATATGATTTTATTGGACTTAGTGCTTAAGAGACTTGGTTAACATCTATATAAACCCCAAGGCTCTTTCATTTATTTATTCTTTCACTTATCACAATACTGGCTACCTGTGTTAGGAACGTGGGGTTGCAAAAATGAAAGGTAAGTCTTCCTTCAAGAAGTTTCAGCCAGAGGGAAGACTGGCAGGCAATTAGAGACAGTCCTAAAATTAGAGTCAATACTGATTGGGCTGTAAAAACAGCATTATGGAAACATAAACGCAGCTTTCAGGCTTGTCTTGGGGAGGTTATTCATTTCTATTTCCTTTGGCCAAGGAAAATAACAACTGGCACAATTCCAATGATCACCTAATAGTCCTCCTTACCTGCTTACAGAAGCAAAGATTATTGTTGATTTTTAAGTAAAATATTCTAGTATCAATATCTCAAAAATTCCTAAAACCAGAAATGGTTGGGAATTATACAAATATACTCCCAGTGATTTGTGGTAATGCAGGACAAGAATAGCACAGATGAAAACACCTCAAATCTAATTTTATCTAGCTGTTTTGACTTCTTCACTTACTTTTAAGAGCCAAAACTCATAAACCGTGTTTACTAGCTTTCATATTCCCTTCCATCTCACACTTTCTGATGGAAATGATACATAATGAACAGTAAAACTGAAGAAAACCATGGATAAAGGAAGTTTACTTACAAATTATAGGATAAACCCTGAAGCATAGGGAATATATTCACATTATTTATGTGCATATTATAAAGACCCGTGTTTCAAGGGTTACTACAATTAATTTCCTTAGTGTGTTATTCTTGATCTCAAAATGGGCACTGTATTTTCATTGTATTTGGTTCATAAAAATTGTTATCCCCGCTAAGGTTTGAAGGTTTGAAATAACTACTTTGTGTGTGTGTGTGTGTGTGTGTGTGTGTGAGAGAGAGAGAGTGTTGAGAGCCACAGCCTGAGGGGCCCCAGCAAACTTCCAGCTGCCAGCAAACTTCCAGCTGCCGGCTGATGATTGGCTCACAGCAGCCCCAGCAACATCTAGCTGATTGGCTCCTCTGCGGTGATGCTCATTGGACTGTTTCCCTGCCCTTTCAGACCACGGAGCTGCTCATTGGGGGACTTTTTTGGCTCCGCCCACGTGACCCAGCCAATCGGCCTCAAGAGCAGGAGGATTGTGGGAGGTGGAGAGAAGCTTGTGTGGGAGAGAGAGGCTTGGGGAAAGCCGGTGGTGGCAGTTGAGGCTCTGAGGGTTTTTCCTGAGAGGCTATTTTGTTTGTCGTGTGTGGTTCTAAAAATAAAGTTAGTTTCTTTTGACAAGTGGCTCCTGATTGTGCCCAGCCAGACTGCGGCATTTGGTGGCCCATACGGGGAGCGACTGAGGGTAAGTGAAACTGCTCGCCCCTGAGGGCAGGGCGAGAGGATGGGTAGCCATTTTAAGATTCCTCTTTTATTTTGCTTCACTTTTGTTTTAAGTTGCCTGTCCCTGGAGATGAGTGAGACGGAAGAAAAACCGCTCACATCTGAGGAAAAACTATTTACGTCTGAGGAACAGATAGGGAGAAAGGACGGATGCACATGTCAGGAGGATAGAAAGGCTATAATGACTTTTTGTTGTTCCCTTTTTATTTCATTCTGTCTCGGTTTTGTTTGGCGTCATCTTGTTGGGTTGTATTATAGTAGAAATATGGGATCAGAAATTAGTAAAAAACAAACTGAAAGAGTGTTAAGTAAATTGTTAGAGGAAGGAGGCATCCCAGTAAAATCAAGAGCAGTCAGGGCATACGTTGATACAATACAAAAATGTAGCCCATGGCTTTTTAAGGAGGAGTTGTTGAATATATCACAATGGAACCATCATGGTGAAGATTTAAAAAGAATAGAAAAGAAAAGCCCAGGGACTCTGCCAGTTGGCACATTGCCATTGTGGACATTCGTATCTTGTTTGCTTAGTCCAAAGCCTTCAGTTCAGACAATGGTAGAGGAAGAAGAAGACATAATGATTCAAGTAAAAGAGAAGGTCTCTCAAGTTAGTCAGACAGAGGAAAAGATTCAAGTAAAAGAGAAGGCCTCTCAAGCTAGTCAGACAGAGAAAGAAAGTGTAAAACAGAAAA